AATATTAATAAAATATAAATCCTCACTAGTGGGCGAGTATCACTCAATATTAATAAAATATAAATCTTCACTAGTGGGAGAGTATCACTAAATATGAATAAAATATAAATCTTCACTAGAGGGAGAGTATCACCAAATATGAATAAAATATAAATCTTCACTAGTGGGAGAGTATCACTCAATATTAATAAAATATAAATCTTCACTAGTGGGCGAGTATCACTAAATATTAATAAAATATAAATCCTCACTAGTGGGAGAGTATCACTAAATATGAATAAAATACAAATCTTCACTAGTGGGCGAGTATCACTCAATATTAATAAAATATAAATCTTCACTAGTGGGCGAGTACCACTCAATATGAATAAAATATAAATCTTCACTAGTGGGAGAGTATCACTAAATATGAATAAAATATAAATCTTCACTAGAGGGAGAGTATCACCAAATATGAATAAAATATAAATCTTCACTAGTGGGAGAGTATCACTCAATATTAATAAAATATAAATCTTCACTAGTGGGCGAGTATCACTAAATATTAATAAAATATAAATCCTCACTAGTGGGCGAGTATCACTCAATACTAATAAAATATAAATCTTCACTAGTGGGCGAGTATCACTCAATATTAATAAAATATAAATCTTCACTAGTGGGCGAGGTGCTGTGTTGGGGGTAGGGGTGCTGTGGTTGGGGGGAGGGGTGCTGTAGGTGGTAGGGTTGCTGTGCTGTGGGTGGTAGGGGTGCTGTGCTGTGTTGGGAGGGGGCAGTGCCAGCTGTGGGATAGGTGTTGGTGCTGTGTTGGGGTAGGGTAAAAATACACTCCTTAAAAAACCAAAAGATACACTTGTATCCCCTGCCCTCCCCAATCCTCTCCTCCCCTTCCTCCCTCCTCCCCCAATATCTTTTACACTAAAGGGATACGGACATTACAATGTAACTGCTGTCTGTAGAATACTCAGGGAACACAGCAGCTCACACTGGAGGGGGCTATTAACCCCCCCCCCAATATCTTTTACACTAAAAGGATATGGACATTACAATGTAACTGCTGTCTGTAGAATACTCAGGGAACACAGCAGCTTACACTGGAGGGGGGCAATTAACCAACCCCCCCAATATATTTTACACTAAAGGGATACAGACATTACAATGTAACTGCTCCACAGCAGCTGATATTGGAGGAGCTGAGAATATTACAGCTCTGCGAAGTTGCCATAACGGTACTCAGCCCCCATTGAGTATATCTAGTACTCTGTCGATCCTTTCTAATGCTTAATCCAATAAATCAGAGGTAATGTCTCAATCCACTGTCCTTGTACTGACCTCCAGATCACCTTCAATTGAGTCAGGAAGGCAGACATGTTCCTTTATTGAGCATTGCAGTCTTGCCACCTCAGAGAGTTTGGATCCTGGCCTATCACTATTCAGGATGGGCTCCAAATATTTCCAAAAGACCTCCAGGGATTTGTCAACTGTCTTTTTTCGCTGATTTTCCATTTCAATAACTGAGGAACAAAAACCAATTAGGAGAAAATTCAGCTATCATGTCGGATCATTACAGAATCAAACACCAAGGGAGCGCATGGTCAGAAATGAATGAAAAGTGACACAAATGAGTAGTGAAACCCATGGTAGAGGGAACGGGAAATGGTAGCAGGGCCAAGCAAGCATTGCACTCTGGAGCCATTCGTTGACCGGTGTGGCCTGGGGTAACAAAAGGTGTCTTCAATACATTAACAAGTAGAAATAATGGCACGTTTATGGTGGTACTGATATATGCAGGAGACATTGCATATCTTTCCCATCATTAAT